TAGACCAGATATTCATTTCTGCTTGCCAAGGTACTCTTGCCCCAGACAGCTTGCAATATACAACTTAATACTTGTAAATAAAATGCCTCTGCCCAAAGCTCTGCAACAGCTTCCTATTGCTATTATATGAAGATAAATCTTAGCTGGGCATGGTAGCACACACCTGGAGTCTCAGTTACTCAGGATGCTGAGGCAGGAGGATCACTTAGGCCCAGGAGTTTGAGCCTGCAGTATGCCATAATCACACCTGTGAATAGCCACAGCACTCCAGCCTGGGTAACATGGTTAGATCTTGTCTCAATAACAACAACAACGACAACAATTTCTTAACCTTCTCCACAAGGCCCTGTGTTGTCTAATCAGAGAAAAAAAAAATTCCTTGAAAGCCCTATTTGGGTTATTTTCTCCAGGAAATCAAATCAGCATAAAAATGCATGAAGCTAACCCGCTGAAAGCAATCACCTGATTCCTGGGGAGGTTGGAGAGTATAGCAGAATGAATGAGAAGCACACCCAGTAACTTCTCCCCGACAATTCCTCTCTGTAGCTTTATAAAATCATTCAGCCAAAATTATCAACACAGCACCAGCTGACACCAAGAATGATCTTGCCTGCCCCAGAGTCTACTAGAATTCGCTACATTTAAACAAGCCACAGGTTTTGTAACTGACTTCCCTACATAGCCTTATCCCCAACCCTAAGGCCAGAGCTGAAAGGAAGAAGAGGAACATAGATTGCATGCCTGTGAAGTGGCTTTCCTGTCAAGGTCTTAGTCTTTCTTTCACTGGCTGGATTAAAAATATAAACAAAACCCAATGTGAGCAAGCATGTGGGGAAATGGGAATTTTCTTGCACTGCCTGCTGGTAGCGTGGAAATTGGTGTAACCTCTGGATGGTAGTTTGGTAACAGGCTCAGAAATGTAAAGTGTGCATTGCCTTTGAGTCACTTCTAGTAGCTTGCACTGAAGTTCACATTCTCTAGTGGGAGGAGATAACTGAAAAGGAAGTTCAACTGTTTTAACACAGTGGAAACTGTTGCAAGTAATGGTTTAGAATTTTTAAAACCACGAATATCAAATCTTCAGAGACATACTTTTTCAAGAGTGACCCTATATGTGACTGTGATGTAATGTCAAATGTGAACTGAGGGATGTCAATCCATAATATCAAGAAAAATTAATGCTAAAAAATCTCTAATGTGATTCAGCCTTTTTTCAGTCTAGTCAAGTCAGTTAAAAAAGAAATCAGGGATCAATTAGAAATCACTGTTTGCAGGTTTATAAAGTAATTTGCAGAAGACAGTCTGGTGATAGCTCTGAATGGATTGTCATGTGCATGATTAAATGGCCCAGTGAAAGTCCCATGCAGCCGGTAAAATAGAGTCTTCATTTTCAAACAAACTCAACTGCACTTAGTTGTCTGGTGTTGGTTAGAGTCCTTTTGAAAGTCATGGATATGAGAAGAGGAGCCAGGAGTCAAGCACCTTTAGTCTCAAACTGGAAAGGCCCATTCAGCTTTTTAAAAAATCTTGTAAACTTTCAATTTTTTTCCATGGTAAAAACTTTACTAGCTTTTCATCAGGAGAGACTTCCAGGAGAATGAAAAAGCACCTATTCTCTCTCCTTTTTAAATCTATTGGCATAACACTGCATATCATAAACTTTTATGCTCTTTAAAGTCTCCTTATCTGTAGTCGCATCTCCATTATCATTGTTACTGTTTGTGTCTTTTTGTTTTCCCTGGATTATTCCTGTCAAGCTTTTTCCTATTTCCTTTACTTTTCCAAAGAATCAGTTTTTGGTTATTGTCAATTTTAATAGTTAATTTCTGCCTTTATCTTTAAAATTATATTTTAAATTATTAATCATGACAAAATTTACATACATTTGAAAAACAGAGGTATATATGGGAATGATTATATATTTGATTTACATTCCTTGGTGGACATAAGGGTAATGGAGGGGCTTCTGCTCTAAGTTTTGTATCTTCCTTCTTCCTTTGAATTTATTTTGTTTTCTCTTTCAGGTTTCCTGAGTTGAAAGCTTTGTTCATTTGTTTTCATTTTTGTGTTTTCTGTGAAGTGCATTTAAAACAATAGTTAGCCCTCTAAATACTGCTTTGGGTATATCCCACAGTTGCAAAATTGCATAAATGGAAAAGTTGCTTTATTCATTTGGTGGAAGGGTTTTATCAATAGCTGTCCTTTTATTATTATGTACTACTGCCATTTGGCATTCATTTTTATTTACTATGTGGTAGGCCTAAGAGAGTAAAAGTAATACCAAAGAGTTCTTCTGATCAAGGAGCTAACAATTTCAAATGGTAAAAACAAAAATTAGATAAATTGAGTGCTAAAAAGGTTTTCATCATGAGTTTTCTCATCCTTTCTGGCCTACAATTTTAGCCTGTCTGCCTACATTTAGCATAAACTCAAAGAAGAGGGAATAAGTGGAGGAAGGGGACACAAAGTCATACTCAGCTGTAGGCTAATAACGTTAGCAGTGGCCATAGTGTATGTTTATTACCTGAACTTTGATTCTGTATCAGATAGTTGGTGATAAGAGTTTTGGAAGTTCCTACAAATGATCTATTACTTAGGTCAATGGTTCTTAACCTGGGTCTGTGAACCTCAAAGAAAAAAAAACATATATATATTATATATATAAAACTATATAGTTATATAGTTATATATATTATATATTATATAGTTATATAATTTTTTCACTAAATTCAAACTGAAAATTAGCATTTGTTCCATCATAAATGTATGCAGCAAACCACAGGAATATTAGCAATACCTGTGACTTTTCCTCAATAGGAATCACACGTATTTTCTACCCCATTAAAGTTGTTGTAGATATCTCAAAATATTGTTTATATTACTACAAAATTACTGTAGGTCTTGATCTTATTATTTAATGCATTAATAAAGAGGCAAATATATAACCACTTTGGTTATCTATGGCAGTGTAACATAGTACCCCAAAAGTTAGTGACTTAAAACAACAAATGTTTATTGTCTCACAGTTTCTGTGGGCCAGAAATCTGGGCTTGGCTAGATACTGGGCCTGCTGGCTCAGTATCTGGTTTTACAAGGCTGCAGTCATCTCAAGGCTCAACTGGGAAAAAATCTACTTCCAAGCTTACTCACGTGATTATTGGCAGTATTCAGTTCATCACAGGTTGTTGGACTGGGGGCCTGAATTCCTTGGTAGCTGTTGACTGGGTATCTCTCAGTTCCTTGCCACGTGGGCCTCTCTGTAAGGCAGGTCACAACACAGCAGCTGGCTTCCATGAAAGCGAGCAAGTGAGAGAGCAAGGACAAGCAAGATGGAGCCCAGAATCTTTTTGTTACCTAATCATGGAAATGATATCCCAATCGCTTTTGCTGTATTTCCTTTTTAAGAACTAAGTTACTAGAGAAGGGAATTATAGAAGGCAGGAATACCAGAAGCACAGGATCACTGACAGCCATCTTAGATGCTACCACTTACCACATAATTATAACACAAACTCACTTTTTAGTATTTCTGGTAACTGTATGTTAACATTATTAATTTCCTTTGTAACCCTAGGTAGTTTATGCATTTAAGAATACTGTTTTGAAAAGGGGTCCATAGACCACCAAAATTCTGGTTCATAGCTCTGATTTGTTTCCGTTGAGGTACTTTCAACAACCTCCCAGGGAAATTTGTTTACAATGGTCTCAATTTAGGAAAATTTAGGAACTAGAGGTCAAAGTCTTAGCCTATCTCATATTAACCTAGACTGCTACTCTATACTAGTTCATATTACTCTAGCATGGCGCATTTGAAGACAACAATTTGCTATGGAACAAACCATACACTATTCTTAATCCTACTGTAGCATTTGAATGGTATGTGTATGCGTGCACTACAGGGAGAAGGGTGTATAGGCCTCTGTCAAGCTTGTCTGATCACAATTAAACCTCCTATGCTTGTATATGACAAATGTCATTTGAGTTTCAAAATGACCATATAAGTGGAGCTAATCTCCCCCAAAATACACTAATTACCAAACTAGAGCTTTTCCCACTACTGAGCAAAGAATGAAAAAGCACCGTGTAAGAAAGATAAATGATGTAATGCTTCTTTCCTAAGTGTTTTGCTTGTGTCACCTGCTCTTGGGAAACCTAAAGATGACAGGTGGCATTTCTAAGTGATAATTTTTGCAAGCACAGTACCAGCTTCATATATTGTCTCAATAAACTAAAAGCTAAGGATATTTTATAAAACCTCCAATACTCATATTGAGGATAAACTTGTCAACAATAATTGGTAGTCATTCTCTTATTTGGCTTTCCCAAAGGCCAGTTTTGTCCCCATACGCAAATTGCATCAACCTTCCCAAAGTTGTCCCTTTTGGGTCATCCTATAGGGGAGTGCTCTTCTGCACAATTCTCAAATCCTAATGATAAAGCAGGCCAGTGCTGTCAGTTATTTTAGATTTTCCAAGAAAACCCAAACAGGTTTTTAATGTATTTTTTGTGGCATTTCCAAATCCTAGTTCCTCTCCAGTCTCTGGAGTCCCCTCATGGTGAAATGGAAGCATCAAGGAACCTGGGTGGCTTCGAGTCCCCACAGCTACCGACTGAGCAACTTAGCTGATCCATCTCTGTTGACCACTGTTTCCCCATCTGAAAAATGTGTGAATTCTCTCTTTCCATTTCTAACATTCTTTGCATTACATTGTTTGAAAAATTCGGATGACATTTAGAATGTCGCAACACACTAGGCCACCCTCAAGAGAGGCCTGAACAGGTTTTCAGTAAAAACGGCAGTGAGGTGAGGCTGGTGAGACGAGAAGCGGTGACAGTCAACTCCCTCAGAACTAGTCTGAACTTCACCAGCCAGAGATGGGTGGGGCCGGGGAGGGCGGCGTTGACGACAGAAGACTCCTTCCGGTTGTGGTGCGTATGACGTCAGGGCGAGTCGGACCGACCCAGCCACCGAGAAGCCGAGGAGGGAGGGCTCGCGAGAGTTCAGGGAGGCCGCCCCGAGATTCCGGCGAGGCCGCGGGTCCCACCTCCCGGGGGCGGGGCGAGGGCGGAGCGGGGAGAAGGGAGCGGACGGGCGCCCGGCCGGCTGCGGTCCGTGCGGAGGCTGAGCCGGCCGCGGGCGCGACCGGAGGCAGGTGAGTTCGCGGATGCGGCGCTCGGCTGGGGGTCCGGGCTCGCCGCGCCAGCCCCAACTCTGAGAGCAGGAGGAGATCTTAGGTGTCTTTGAGTGTCCAGGGAAAGCGGGGCTAATTCCGGGGCTGGAAATGTCTCCGGGGAACCTGCGGCGACGGCCTTGGCCCTCTTATTCCCCGGGGTGATACTGGCCCCGTGTGTCCGGAGAGGGAGCCTCGCGCCCGGGAAGGAATCTTTGTCCTTCTCTCTGCTCCTTTCTCCTTCCACTCCCCAGCCCCAGAGCACCCCACTCCGGGTCCCCGCCTGGGCTTCATAAACAATAACAAATGTCGCGGATCCTCTCCGGGTAGCCCCAGCGCTCCCGTCCCGTGCCCTCCAGCCTATGTCACCCAGAGCCAGGATCCGAGGCATGGCTCTTCAATTGTGGGGGCTGTTTGTGTACCGTTCCTAAAAACTGATGCGTCAGATTGCCAAACATTTCTCAAGACAGACTCAGGAAAGCCTCCCAGCTCCCAGAAGCCACGGAGTGCTCAAAACCAGTCTTAGAGTCTATCTTTACCATTGCACCCGTAGCCCCTTCTTTTCAAAATCATTTTCTCCCACTCCTTTTTTCACCTTTAGTATCGAGGTCAAACGAGTGGTTATTTGATGTGGGAATAGAAAAGATTATAACCAATTGAGTAGGGCACGTTTCACCTTTAAAAAGTTGCCAGGTTGACAGCAAAAGAACAAACTTTATTTTCAAAAGCAGTGGCCTTTCCTTTTACTGGTGCTGCTTTTGTTTTGTGGAATAGCTTTTCGGGTTCTAAGTTTGGAGGAATGATATAAAAAGAAATGGAAGGTGGGGGGAGGGCTAGTGGCTCTGAAAGTAGTGGCTTGTCCAAAAGTAGGATGCTGTTGTTTCTCACTTGATAAAATGCAGAACCAACGCTCTTGCCTATTTCACATAACTTGTGGTAAGTTTTGAGAGAGGCCACTTAATCGGAAATGGCCTGACTGTTAGCTTATTTTACCGCTCAAATATGAAAAAACAGCTTTAAGTGATTTAAGTTCTACCTCTTGATTGTAAGATGGGGATTGATGAGTGAGATCCTTTTTGGCGCTGGGGCTTGCGTTTGACCGGTCTCTCTACTTTAAGGCAGGGTCTATTGTACTTAAGCCCCTTTTTGCTTCCTCAGTACAGATTCTTGAAAGTTCTTTGTCTCAATCATCTGTGTATATAAGGTACTGTAAACCTCTTTGAATTTGGCCTTTCTCTCTGTGCCTCAGGATATGTAAAACAATTAAGTTTATTATACTCTCTCCCCAGTGGCTGAGAGGTATTGTATGTGAATTAGCCACCCTTGTGACTATTTGAGGAGAGAGAAGTTAGTCTAAAATATTATGTTAAATTATGATATTACATAATTTTATTGCATAAGTTCATCGAACTACTTACATCTGAAAAATCCTGATCTCAAAAGAGGTACAATGAATTAAAAAATGCTTTGGTTTGACCTCACTTAGCTTTGTTTTCTCCTTGTTAAGATGGCTGATAATGTTTCCCATTTGGTTGGGATGTGTTTAGAATGAGAAGCAAAGTTGGGTGTAGGTTTTGTACTCTTTTGAAAGGCCCTGCCACTGGGAATGAAAAAATTAGACTTAGAAAACCCACATTAAATAGGAGCAGTTCTTCTCTAGCCATTTGCTCTTGAGTTTGTTTTAAAATAAGTCAAAGAATAGAGACTAAGATGATTTGTGCCAACAAATAGATGTCCTTGTCAGTTTTTATGCTGCAAACTTGATTTCTAAAGGTAGGACACTATAAGAACAAAGGAAAAATTGGACTTTCTAAAAAATGATAACAAAGCAATGGACTCAGTTCAGCTCTTTGCTTTCAGAAAAGTTCTGTTCTCTTAAATGTAAGGAGAGCATCATTGTGTTAGTGAAATTGGATAATGCCCTTTCGAAAGTGCCTCCCCAGTGATCCAGGATAAGTTGCAGACTTTTTTTGGTGTGTGTGACACTTTTTGTTAAGAGAGAGAGCACAAATCACAGCCAGAACGACTTGCATCTCGATGTATTGTTAAAATGCTTTTATTTTATGTAAATAGTGTAGGGTGAATCAAACAAGCATATTGTCATCTAGCATCCTTAGGATTACATTAAAATCGGCAGATGGGCAAGTTATGATTAGGTTAGACTTGACATATGCAGAAATTATGCTACTGTATTTTTATATTAAAAGCACCATGGTCTTTTTGAATGAAGTAATGAAAGCAAGCTTTTGAGACATAACTTTTTTTAAAAATTAAAAATATATCTTTGATTAGTAGTTTAAAAACATGAAGCATATCCTCCTCTTATTCCCCCCAAAATTTTTGTTTAAGTCTTAAGAAAGTATTTAGCAAGGTATGACCAGTACTTAAGTGCACTGGTTGCATAAGCCTTCTGTCTCCAGGTAAAGGTTTGCTAATTGACAGAGTATTATTGTTCAGAATCTTTAGAGGGAAAGAAATCAAAGGCAGCAGTGAACAGTGTTTGCTGCTGTGTACTCTCGGACGAGCTGTGATTGCTGTCTTCAAGGAGATGTGATCCAGTGGGAGAGAAATGTACCTACCCAAATAAATACCATAGAAAATGTGTTTTATGAGGAAGCCAAGGAGGGAGGGATTAAATGCTACTAGACCAATTAAGGAAGACTGAAATAGGAAAAGGCGTTTCTGTGGATAATTTAAGTGATCTAGTCATATGATAATGATGTTAAGTAAATGTATAATGCTGCTTCCTGCTAAACCGTTTACATGTACTACTTACTTGCCTGGCTTTAATCTTCACAACAACTGTATGGAGTAGGTATTTTTATTTTTCCCGTTTTGTAGATGAAGTAACTGTGGTACTAAGGTTAGATAGCTACTGAGTGGTAGGACCAGGATTCTGACCCAGGCATTCTGTCTTGTACCCTATGGCGTGCTTAACTGCAATCCATATTTTCTCTCCCATTCATGATGGTCTTCCTCAGGTCTGTAGTTTCAAAAACTTGACTTGGGAAATACATTCTTCTGACATCTAAATTTTTGGGTCAGTTTTCTAGAAACAGTTCCAAAATAATGAACACCCAAGTAAATGAGTTATTTTTGACATGTTATTTTAATCCATTTTTGGAAGTTATTCGTGGTACAAATTAAATATAACTGTTGAGTGGGACTTTTTAATAATTTTGACTTATTACCTGTAAGTACTCATAAGGACTTAGAAGTGAGAAGTTATTCCATATTAACTCTTTTGCTTAATGGAATGTTTGAGTCATTGTATATTTTGTCCTGTAATTATTATTTTTTTAAAGACAGAGCCTCACTATCTTGCCCAGGCTGGACTTGAACTTCTGGGTTAAAATGATCTTTTTGCCTCCTAAGTAACAGGCACTATAGGCCTGAGCCACTGTGCTTGGCTTTGTTCTGTATTTTTTTTTTTTTTTTTTTTAAGACAGAGTCTTGGTCTTTTAGGCTGGAGTGCAGTAGTGCGATCATGGCTCATTGCAACCTCTGCCTCCCAGGCTCAAGCGATCCTCCCACCTCAGCCTCCTGAGTAGCTCAGACTACAGGTGTGCACAAGCATGCCCGACTGATTTTTAAATTATTTGTAGAGACAGGGTTTCATTATGTTGCCCAGGCTGGTCTCAAACTCCTTGGCTCAAGTGATCCTGCTGCCTCGGCCTCCCGAATGTTGGGATTACAGGTGTGAGCCAATGTGCCCAGCCCTGTTCTGTAATGTTTTAAACCACTTGGCACTGAATAGTTTTGGGGTTGAATTATGAAGCTGAAATTTAGTTAATGATTGAATGTTGGTCTCAGCCCTTTTAGTTTATTTGCATGAATAGCTATGCTTATAATGGCAGAAACAGGGTGAATAGAGTGTTGTACATGTATAAAATGAGAGAAGTTCCATCACTGATACTTTCTGTTGGGGCAACTTTGACAGTTCTTTGGGATTGTGAAATAAAAGGTGCTATAGAAGTGAGCAGTGTTTTGTGTAAATATCCACCTGATTTTATTTATGAAGTTTCGAGAATAGTCCATATTTGTTGTTTAAGAATTGGAATCACAAATTCAATTGGATTTAAAGGTTAGAAAAAAAGTGTATCTAGGCAGGGAATGCAGCAGGTGAGCAGTGGGAGAGGTATTGCCTACCTTTTCCTAACTGTCCAGCAGGATCCAGACTCTTCAGCTTCTTTGTCAGTGCCCGCAGTTGACCGTACTCATAGTTTAAGTACAGCTCCAGAGTCATAGTCTCTGTGAACGAATATAAGTATTCTCTACTTGACTTAATGGGGTAGGTTCTAGAAGACACTTGTACTAGGACAGTTGATGGTTGATGAGTTTAAAACCTAATGGGAAAAGTAGCAGAACTAAAGCTAAGATTTAAAGCATGTGTATTTGTATAACTGAAATAAGACAAAGATGGCAAAACAAATTGTAAAAGTTTTTTTTTTAAAACAGGCCTTAAATTAGTAGTGATGGTATATCATTTCCATTTACCATGCCCTGATTGGCAGATCTTTAGCCCATCACTTCATGGAGATACTTAGATGTCGACTTCGCTTTGTTATAAAAAGTTTACAGGTTCTTCTAAGTACAGGTAGTTTTGGAAGATTGTCTTAGTAAAAAGGTGTGTGAGTTGGTCTATCAAAAGGAAAGCAGTCATACTGTTACCTCCTTGCTAATACAAATTTTGGGGTCATCTTCTCCCACCAGGAATAGTTAGTCTGCACTGAAAATCCACAGAGGCAGGTAGCCTGCCCTTAGATGAGCTCTGCACAGGTCTTAGGGAAAACCTTAACAGTTATAGGTCATGTGGTGACCTGATCATTCACTGTGGTATTGTACAAATTCAAACAGGCCTGGAGCCTTGGCAGTTGTCTGTGGTTTGTGATGATAACACTTATGCTTAGCTTTTATTTATTTATTTATTTATTTATTTATTTTTGAGACAGAGTTTCACTTTTATTGCCAAGGCTGGAGTG